GTGGAAACATTTTTCCTTACATCGGGACTGAACCTTCTCTGTTTCAGTTTATAATCCAAGATCTGTGCCAGAAATATCAAGGGATGTCTGCTCAGATGAAAAGAAGTGTGAAAGCATACAGGTCCAAGGTGAAGAGTCCCAAACACGAAAGTCAGGCCTCCATCAGGCAGAGCTCTGATAGCCCTGTGACTCATGGGAAATGCATCATCCTGAAATCTCAGGAGCACAAGGCATAATAAAGTGTTGGTGTTCTAGGAAAGAAGTATGAATATCCTAATCAGGAGAATGGCTTTTCAAATTTGTTCTACTTCCATAATTTTTGCTTTCTTGCTTATCTCAGTACCTCAGCCAATAAGAAGTCAGTAAGGACCCTTCAGACAACTGAAGGGAAAAAGGAAGACCCAGGTTTGCGCTGACTCCGAGAGGAATAAGAGGGCTGAGCTCAAAAATGTTATGATATGAATTTCATCAAGGTGATCCCTGTCTCCTCCTTCCCCAGGATGGGCCCTCAGCTCGTCTATTCACAGTGCAGTCCCGTTGTCTCTCTCCTGAGCTCATCATAGCAGCTCAAAACGAGCCCACTGCGCCACGTGCTGTGGGAACACTGATGGATTGCAGCAACAGAGGAGGGACCATCCTGAGCCATCTGAAACGGTGATCTGAGGTCCCCGACGCTCAAGGCAGTACAGGATGTCAGGTAGACCAGGAAACTGAACCAAGGCCACAGCTGTGGTTACAAGCCCAAAACCTAACAGACCCTAACACCTCTGTATGGGTTCCCCAGCAAATATAGCTGCTCCTTGTTCCCTAGTTCTCCCCATTTCTGAACGAGGTTCCTTCTAACCTGTAGCTGTTGATGTGAAACGTCATGGAAGGAGCGCCTATGTCTTCTTGCTCGGAGGCATCAGACGGTGTACCCAAAGCTCGACAGGAATGAATTGCAAGCAAAAATGGAATATTCAATTTACCAAGCAGGCACATTTTCTTTTTACTCACACTCTCCAGGTCTGTGTTTTCATGAGTGGTACAGCAGATGCTGCTGATAAGTGGCTGCTTACATACCCTCGGAGGAGCTTTGTCCATTGAGTGCTTGTGTGATAATGAGGCTGTAAAGGGGAAGTTGCCATTTGTGCTGCCCTGTTAATACATAGTTATTTTTTCTATTTTAATTACATGTATATCCTACAGAGTAGGACTTGCCAAATAATTACACAAAAGGAGAGGTGATAATACTTTGTATTTTGTTTTTCATTTGTGCAGAATTTAGAATAATTTTTCTCAGTTGAAACACATTTGAAATCTCTGTTTGCTCCTCTATTATACCTGCTGTGTTTCCATCATTTGTAATGAAGGGAATCAGTGTCGGTTTTGGTGCTGTGGCATTGCGTGACAGCCTGACTTAGATGTGTAGGAACATTAGCAGCAGTTAAATCACATTATTTACATTAACTAGTTAGTTAGCATGTACCTATGTACATTAGCTAGTTACAACTGGCATCATTAGTTATGTACATTAGCTAGTTAATTGCTAACTATACTACAACCACACAGTTTGTTTGTAAAATATAAATCACAGCAGTTTATATAAAGGTGCATTATCAGACCACTAGTTTGAGTTATTCTTGCAGAGTGTTGGCAAGGACTGGTTAATTGTATAGTTGGCTATTCCTGTTTAATGGCACATATCACAAGTTCAAAGGGCATTTGCATCAGTTTGTTTTGGAAAGCGAGGGAAAAGATTAGGAAAACGTAGAAGGAAGCTGAAAGTAAGCGTCACCGCGCCCAGGGGCATCCCGAGTCCCTTCCTCTGCCAGCCGCCTGCGGCATCTCGTCCTTCGGGGAGAAGGACGC